CATCTGCTTGGAGATTACAATCAATACCAACAATTAGTAGGGGTTGCCTTTCATGGTACTGAGACTAATTCTCATGTACATGATCGACTTTGTGTGGCCCTCGGTCAGTCTTATTTTTTAAATACAATGTGTACTAACAGTATGCTACCTTACATGCACAAAAACTCAAGTAAACTGTTTTATCAAGTTGACATGTTTATTGACGATTGTACCACATGTGAAATACAGCCACAAGTCTTATTTTACACCGTGATGGCAACTCCATTATTTTACCATAAAATATTCTTCTAAAGTTTTCTTTCAAAGGAATGGGCTATAATGAAAAGGAGAAACCTTGGCGTATTAATACCAGGAAGAAATTGTATATGAATTGTTGCTCTTTTTTTTGGGAACTCATATCTAAATGTTCACCCAAATGATCTTTCATAGCCCTTCGGCCTTTCTGCATATACATGTAATTTAGCTGTGAAAAAGATGCAAGTTTTGCAGTTTTTGTTGTTGAAACTGTGCTTTCTTCATCATTTATGGTTTGTTTTTGGTCTTCTTGAGATTATGCTATCTCCAGTCTGAAAAGTAAGCAATACATTTGTTCTGTGTAATAATTGTCAGTGATAGAGAACCATGTTAAAATATAGTCATCTAGTTGCATGTACACAGAAAGAGTGACAAATTAAGTTTAATGAAAATCATTCCTCAATAACTGACCCTTACAAATGTGACATTACCTACCTACTTACAAGTAGCCAATTCATACAATCATGTACATGGTTGCACCCATTCTATGCTGCAGAATAATAAGTAATTACAATAAACAAGGATTTTCTACCATTCTCAGTATGTCAGTCCTGTAACAGTAGACAAAAATAGTATCAAGGTGGTATTTTATAATTATGATTAAATATATGCATGGAAAGTTGTGCTTTTCAAAATAATATTGGAAATCATAGAACTCATTCAAAATGTTTGAATGCATCGCTTGATAAGTCAGTTCACAGTTTGAACTGAGTATGCACAAGGTCAAAGGTGAAGGCTCCATGTAAACAGTTATAGACCATGGAGGTATAATACAGACTATTATACCCCCATGTCTATACATGTCCAGCTGTGTTTTGTTTACAATGTACATCTTAGGCCACACCAATTTAATTTCTTGGTTAACGGATTCGCCCGCTTCAGTTTTTTTCTGATTTGCAAATAAAAATAAAAATTCAGAATCAACTGCAAAATGCTCATATTTTGCCCTGAACAGTTGAAAACAGTCCTTTTCTTCCTAGTTGTTACAGTTATTCCGTCTTTCAATGCAGTGGTATCATTAGAAGCCTTTTGTGTTGACTTCATACCTCCTATCGTAGCATTTGGGGCTATAATAGGATGCCTAGATCTGTTTTTATTTTTATTTTTTTTCGCCCTGTCGCTTCATATTTTTCCTGAAAAAATCCGAGAACCAACAAATTAAATTGGTGTGGCCTAAACTGTGAACAAGCTTATTCACAACTCTGCTCTTTTTAACCCTTCCACCGTACACTTAGGAATAAGCTAACTAGTTTATTCAACTTCAGTAAATTGTACTTCCTATTTGTTACAGCATGGTAGCAAAATGGATAATGTTGAAGTATGGAGAAACAGACCTCTTTTTTCCAGTTTGTCATCAACATCATAACTACACATGAAACAATGGTACATTACAACAAGTACTCAAGAAATGTACACAACTTGCAAATACATTCGTCTACCCTATACATAGTTCATGGTTTCTTGGATATTCAAATCATGTTTATATATGGTTTGTGGCAAAGTGCAAGATTTATTAGACAAGCACATCGGCAGAACGTACTGCACCTGCGCAAAACCCGTAATGTATTGTACATAGCATTTCGGCAGAATGTCTCATATAAGGTTGTATTCGCTCATATAAGGTTAGCATTTCGACAGTAGTTTCCAAATGTTGTGTCGGAAAGAATATCCTCTGCAACAGGCAATATTGTGATGCAACGTTGACCAAAAACCCAACGAAAAACGCGAAAATACGGGGTTCTGCGCAGGCGCAGTACGTTCTGCCGACGTGCTTATTAGACATATTTAATTCAATCATTCAATTGTTAAAATACAGTGAAAAACATTCTTCAATAATTCATTAGGTATCCTAATGTTAACACCAACTTATAAGTTATAGGCTTAATATTTAATCATATGTCAGAAAGAAGAATATACATATACATGGCAGTAGAGAGGTTTACTTAACAATTCATAACCTATAATTTATATTGATTCATTGGCTTAAATTAATGTGTAATGATATGAATAGCACTGAAATGTCTAAAAGTACAAGACAACACATAACAGTAGTGAGAAGGTAGTGAGCAACTCATAACTTTTGCACTAAATTGTTTATTCTACATTTACATTACTAGTACTCAAGTTTTGCATACAACTGTAGTTTTTCACAAAACCTATATCCACTAAGACATAAAATAGCCACCAAAGCAATGGATAGAAGCTATATCTAAACCTCCTGTCATACATGCGAGTACACATACATGTAGTCACTTAGACACAACAGAGAGGGACTACAGAAAAATACTTATCCACCATGTATACATTGTACTCCTGCACTTGCATACTTAGACCCTAGGTGGCGCTGTTTTGGAAATCACAACACTGATTCAGAAGCAAAACAACATTTTGGCTTTGATCATGTATTTAGACCACTTTACACAGCGAGCATACTTTACAGTGGAACACAATGTAAAATGTCTGTCTTCATCAATTGAGAATTGGGGTGCAATACATATGGCATGTGACAAACACTGGAAATACTGAACAATACATTATTGAGATTTATGAAAAACTAGGTGCAAGGTCTGTCATCATCATATTTACAATGTTGCTAACAGGTATTGACCAATATTGAGGTATGCTGTTATCAACTGGAGAACAAGATTACAAAATATGACACTAATAATCAGTAGAACATTTAACGTTACCCCATCAGTCCACTATTAAACATATCGAATCATACTTATACATGTAAGTCCATTCATGTTACAAATTGCACACACAGATACAGATCATTACCTAAAACCTAATCTCCAAGCAGATGTTGGGAGGGCAAATCTTAATATTTTCTTAGCTGCCATAATCTGAGTTTAAGTGCTTCTTTTGAACATCTGCATTTAATTTTTTTTCTACTTTCAATCTTTCCAGAAACTTGTTGTTTCTCCTCCTTTTAAACATTGATGTGAAAATTAGGGTCAGTTTGGTATAGAAAAGAGCTGCTAGGAAAACTTAACGATTTAGTCTCCCCCAAACATTTGCTTGGAAACAACCTAAAACCATTTTTTACCCAAAAGGCATATTACTTGCAAAAACCATACATTTCATGTATTACTTATTTACATCTCGCCTTTCGTCATCATTTTTAACTGTAATTCCTTTCGTATACATGTACGCTCTCACAAGTGTCCATGTTAAATTTACAACTGGATCATATTAATGGTTGTTACAAGTGGTTATGACGATCAATTTTAACCTTTAGCACACTGAAGCAGCCATTCAGCCACCAATCATCTATCGGTTAAGCAGCAGGGAGAAGGTCAAGCAATACTTGCACGGCGCCGGTATTGACAAAATCTTTATCCCAGAAGACAGACTTGACAACTACTTCAATTTGAGAAACAGATTTTGACTATCAAAGTGCAGTCCTAGACCTATACTAATGTTCTTCAGCCACTAAACTTAAATCACCTTTTACGTCACAGATTCAGTCGCAGCGCCGCCTAGCGGACAATCTGGCGCTAGCCGCGAAACATCGATCGGGTCAGATATCACGGCAAATATGTGCGGGGTTGGCAGAAACCAATAAATCACCATTTACAAATAGGATTTTGGGTAGAAAGGCCCCAAAACTGAAAGTATTGGACTTCCCCTTTAACCTATTGGAAATGAATTACTTTTGAGCTTGAACTAAGAACTACATTTGCAGTGCTGTCTTTGGCTGTGCGTAAAAAAAGCTGGAGATATGTAAGGTCAAGTCCATCTAGAAAGCTTGAGGAGTGGTCAGGAAATGTTAACAAGAATTACCCTGTACTTGATTTTGAAGAATCTTCCAGACCTCATTTAGCCCTCCCCTAAGCTCCATGAATGGAATAACCCTAACTTCAGGGATACTGTTGAATATACCAGAGTTATCATAGCTCAATGTTATCATATCACAACAGAAAGTCTTTAAATAAAACAGTACTTGAAAAGGTAGCACTATCGGCAGCTTAATTTTTTTTAACTTAAAAGTTGTTGAAATTATCTTCTTGATGTGACATACCTCAAGTAATGTATTTCTAGTGTATGTAATCCTATGAATAATATGGAGTAAAGAAGACTCAATGCAGTGAATTATATTATAGTACTATCAGCTATTGATAAAGCATTGTGTTTTATCAATAACTGTAGATGACTTATTATAACATTTTCATTACTTGAGCATAAAATACTCAAGAAGCCCATGATGTACACTTTGTATATTCACAACTTCTTGGTTGACAATGGAAGGCCAAAGATGCTTGAAGTATGAGAATACATTTGTGTATTTATACTGATTTTTTTCAAGGTCACCAACACCAGCAATTTTTTTTCTGAAAGTCTACATTTTGAGCACAATTTTGCAAATCTTTTCACACTTTTTATACAAAGCACTATCCTTCCTGTTGTACCCCATACATGAATTGTATGGTCTTGAACATTCTTTGAAGGCCTATTCAAACTCCGTACTGAGAACTTGGATCCTTCTCAAGTTGTTGGTTCTAACAAAAAGAAATGGAAGAATGCTTTAAAAAACCCCTAGTGGTTTCTTCCATATCTGTACAAACCAAGGCCTGTGTTTAAAAATGTCTCCGCCCCAGAGGTGTAGCCAAAAAAAGGGGTCCGTGTTGTTGTTTTAGCTCCAGACGTCGCAGGCGTATCTGCCCTTGTTCCTGAGCCCCTTGATGAAGTCCTTGGCCTGAGTCTGGGTCATGTTTCCCCTCGCCTCCACAATGTCGTGGAGTACCATGTCCACGTCGTGTGCCATGTGACGGGCATCTCTGTGGGAAGAAAACAACAGTCATCAAACAATCAAAGGAAAGTATGGAAAATTCATCGACTTTCAGACTATTTGATGGTAAGGGGAAAAGGAAGGTTTTTGAAAATGTAGGAATCTTGTTTTTTTGGCCCGCCTTGGTTTTTTTTTTTTTGCCCGCTCACATTAGTTTGCAGAGGATGTCATCCATAAAATTTACCTGCTGTGGCCTAATGACTGGCAACCCATAGGATGCAAAAAATGACAACCATTGATTTGTCTCCATTATTTATGTTTGACATTGATTGTACTAATATTTTGGTTGTTATTGACGTTCTCATATTCAGTTTTCATTATTCTGTCATACTTATTTCTGATATCATCTGTCATATTTGAGCTGATATTAATTAAGTAACTCTGCAAGTCATTAATATTGTCATTTTCTTTTGCTGTTATTCTGCTGTTATTTATGGTAGATATTATTTATTTACATTATAGTTTATTTATTTTCCACCTTCTATTATGGATCTGTGGTCTATGTCTTTATTAGTTCTTGAACTTTGTCCTTTTGTTTTTCTGTATGTGTAATGTATCTTTTGGTGAAATGCAATAAAAAAATTTTTAAATGACGACAGGCGACACTTACCCGCACACGTAAAGGTGAGCTCCGTCGTTCAGCAGGTTCCAGACGGACTCTGACTGCTGTTTGAGCAGGTGTTGTACGTACACCTTCTGCGCCTGGTCGCGGGAGAACGCCATGTTGAGCTGAGACAGCGTCCCGTCCCGCTCGTAACCCTCCAGCTCCTCCTGGTAGATGTAGTCTTCCAACTTCTTCCGGCAGCCAGAGAACAGGACCGTGTCTCCAATAGGTTTGCCTAAACAACAAGAGATCAGAGATTTCACATTTCCGAGAAGTGCATGACCTGGCCTCGAGTTCACCCCATTTCTTGTTTCATACCTCCTCTCATTCTACCTGTCAATCTTCCTCCACGTACTTGCCATCAAGCTACTCTCAAGTTCGCCTTGTTTCCTGTGTCTGACCTTTTGATCTACATGTATCATTCTGCCTGTCAATCTTTTCCACACCCATGTGTTGTCAACCTAATCTGTTTCGGACAAACAGATGCAAAAACCCACAGCTCAGTTGCCCTAAACAATACTTCTGTACCTAGAAGTAATAACAGTAACAACCTTTCTATTCAATCAGATTGTATCTACAGGGGTCGAAATAGATTTTGGGGCCAACTTGCACTGGTGCAAATGAAAAGAAAAATACTTGCACCAGAAGAAAAATAGTTGCACCCTCCAAAAATACAGAAGTGATGGGAAACATCCGCTGGCAGCGACGTAGATAGTAACCTTCTGTTACTTACAAAAAATGAAGAAAAACTTCATGGATTCTGGTTTTGTTCCTTTCCACTCCAGTTCTTTATTAATTAATATTATTGGGTAATTCTACAGGTAGTAACAGTGGATAAAGCAAACTTGCACCATGGTGCAAGCAGGCAAAAAATTAGTTGCACGACACCAAATTTACTTGCACCAAGTTGCACACAGAGGGTTATTTCGACCCCTGATCTAGGAATTCCAGCAGGAGAAAAGGACAGTAGGTTTACGTGTGTACCATGTAATCAATGTCTTCATGCAGTCACAATCTTATGATGTGTACAGAAGGGATTCAAAAGTATTGTAAAAAATGTGACCAATCAAAACCCACCTTGCATGTTAGTGTGATGCCTCTCATGTTGAGTGAGTGATAACGGCCACAATTTGAAGTCACCATCTATTGGTCATGAAGCAGGGTCGCTAACCACTGGACTATGTACACATGTTTACAATTTCACCAACCAAATCTCACCTTCGGTCTTGGCGTGATGTCTCTCCTGTATGAACCCCCTGAACGGAGCGAGGCCAGTCCCGGGTCCGATCATGATGACGGGGGTGGTGGTCTTGAACGGGAGGCGGAAGGGGGACTTGCGGACGTAGATGGGGACACGGGGGCCGTCGGGACCGTTGGGGATCTTGGTGGCAAGCCAGTTGGTGGCCACGCCCTTTATCCTGCGGTTGAGCTTACTGTGGTAGTCCACCAGGACAGCGGTGATGTGGATTCTCTCGGGATGCTCCTACAAACACATTCAACCTTTAGAACAAAGAAACAGCCTAACCATTCTCTATTGAATACAGGGTTAGTTACAGGGCAAGTAGGCTAATATAGAAAGGTAACATTTGCAAAGCATGTTCACTTAACATTTTATGTTTACTTTCACATGGTTAACAAACTACTGCTCTGTCTATTCTTACTTACACTAGCACTTCTAACACTAGCTACATAATGAAATCCAACACCTCCAGGTGTCTGCTACAGCACTGGTTACCATGGTGACAGCCATCTGGTCGAGGTCATTGACCCTTCTTTTCAGAAGAAAACATGTTTTCCTTATGCAAAGGTTAGAATTCAATCTTATGTACTGTTAGTATAAATATATCTGTATCAATAACACTGTTGCTATTGGCTTTTCTCACAAAAAGGAAGTATTCATAACATTTCAAGTCCTCCAGACCCTCTGTTCACTGAAGTTTACTTTAACCTTCTCCTTGCTACTTAACCCCATAGCCAATACAACTTTAGCAGTCTGAAGGTTAACCTCGGCGAGGCCTTACCTTAGGAGAGGATGAGATGGAGTAGTAGCGTGCGTGCAGACGAGGCAGGAGCTCACACAGGTGGTCTACAGGCGGCTTGAGGGACGGCAGGTCCTTCAGGATCTGTAGGATATCCCGCCGACTGTCTGTCACCCACTCTGCAAACTCTTTCTGTGGGACACAGGGAGGGGAGATGTGTGAAGGTTAAACACAGTATGAAGTTATCCATCCACAAAATGGTGGGTCACACTAAATAAATGTACAGAGGTTTTGTTTTCAGTGTGTCTGTGTGTTTGCTTGTTATTTCCACAAGATAGGGATGTCAGGGACACTGGCAGGAAGTTGTATCAAAGGTCCCAGGAAAGGTTATCTCATTTCCTATTCTTAATTTTCTGCTATAAGCAGTTGTCTTTGAGGACCCAGTGGAAAAAAGACAGAATCACGATAATTGAAGACAGGATATGAAATAACTTAGTGAGCAAGTGGGAAAATGCAGGCAGAATATGCAAGAAATTCACAATAGTTGAAGACAGGAAATCAAATAACCTTTCCTGCTACCTTTTTGAGACCTTTGTACTTCCTGTCAGTGTTCCTGACATGCCTTACATGGAGAAGTAACTACAGAAACAACATCATGCACACAAAAGAAACAGAGAAAAACAAAACTACAATGTACATACATGTACATAGAGGTAACAATGTCAGAGAACCATTGAAACAAACTGGCCTGGCCTTGTTAATTACCTTCCCAGCCGAGGCAGTGATCCTGGTGAGGAACTCCCTGTCCTTAGGGTCGGAGGCGTAGTCAATGATATCGTGCAGGACGTTGGTACGCGGCGGGTGGGTGATGTCCACGTAGTGCAGGAGAGCAGTACGGTATGTCGTCGGGCACGGGAACGGGTGCTTCTTGGCGGCCTCATCTACGAGAGAAACGCAATAAAAACAGTCTACTGAGTCCACTAGGTCTGTCTACTGAGGAAGACTAGAGTGACTGGCCGAAAGCTCGAGAGAACTTTTTGTGTTGGACCAAAAGTTTTAAGTTTAAACATGTAACTACCAACACAGATGAACTTTCATGATAATAAAAACAGTTGTCGCATGATTCACTGTTGTTTTTTTACTTTATTCAACCATAAAAAATTACTATTGAAATTCATCTGCCAGGGTACCCCCGAAAAAGGAATGTTCACAAATCTCTCAAACACACTGTTTTTCAACGTGGCGGATGTACTTGTATATAACCTGACAAATAATTGTTACTGGACTCCAAAATTTTCTTCCCTTCTTAATGATGAAACCCAACTAAGTCATCATAAGTTACTTGAAGAATTTTAGCAGGTCCGTAAACTTGTACTCATGAAAACAAAAATATAATATGTTTCACCATCCACGTTGTTGAGAGTGAAGACGTCATCCAGGTTGACATTGAGCAGGTGAGCGATCTCCTCCACCATAGCAGGGTCGTTGGTGGGGTACACGGCCACATGGTCTCCTGCCTCGTACCTGCGGATTATCACATGTCAGTCATTACTATTGGGAGTATAGTTTTGGGTGGCTGAGCTGCGGATCTGTGTGTATCGTACACTTTGTACAGACAGAGTACATGTACCTTAACAGTATGTGGGTAGGGGGAGATTGACAGGCAGAATGACAGACAAAAAGGTCAGACAAAGGAAATGGGGGTGAACTTCAAAGTCCTAGAATCTGACCAGGAGTCAGCAGGAATTAGGGGTCAATGTACATACATGTATATGGGGGAATTCAGGAAGTCAGGGATTACATCAGTGACCCTCCAACCCTGTACAGTTTTTGTCCTAGTAGTACAATCTCCTCAGTTGTTTCAAAATGATTGATGAAAACCCAAAATACATCTTCCTGGAGGTCTGAAATCTTTGATTTTATAAAGAACAGGTGTTCCTTCTCTCCTTCCAGTACAGAGAACACATGTTCAGTCTTTTCTTGTACAGTTCATTTGACATCTCTGAGTCTGGCATGAAATAGCCTGCTGGAATGCATCTTATCTCAGAATACTAGACTCCCACAGACATTCCTAAGTATCCATTTTGCTGCAACCTCATACATACATAACCAGCCTGAGAATGATTCTCACTCACTATCTGGTTAAGCATCTTTTTATTCTGTTCCTTTTATCTACAACATCATTAAAATTCTGCAGAAGGATTGGAGTAATATTTTTCAGGACTTTCAGGACACCGGACTTTGGAATTTTAACAGTACTATAGAAAAATATACAACTTCATTAACAATACTTGTTGTCTTAAATTTACCCCCCTACAAAAATCTAGTAGTAATAGACTGTACATAGAAGTACATTACACATTGTTGTCTTGAACTTCTAAGTGCTTAGTATCAGACAAAGAAACTACTGTAAGTTTGTTTATTTTTGTGGGGTCTATTTTCAACCTAGGAAGGTTTCTCAGTGTTTTACAATGTATTTTTGCATTTGAAACAATCTGTAGAACCAAAACACCTGATTATTCACAATGTCCTGACTTTGCAGTAAGAGGACTCAGCAAAAAATGCCAAGCCACTGCAAACATTTCATGATTTACAGCTTCAGTTCACACTTTTGAAGCCCGCAGGAGAAAGTTAACACATTCTTTTGTCACACACATACTCAACTCAAACCATGGTCTCATAAAACTTGTAATTCACTGACATATTCTCCATCAACAACTTCTGGAAACACTACATAAACCTGGTATTCAAACAGTCCGCCCATTAAACTTCCCTAACATTGTATTTTAATCTTTCTATATATACTTATATAATATTTTTCTTTGTGTATTGGTATTTGGTATTTTTTAATTGTATGTTCTGATATGGACTGTGTGCCTGCAATAAAGAATGAAATTGAAAATTGAAAGAAATTGTAAAAAAAAGTGGTGTATTTTACCTTATCCTGGACCCTGAGATGTCAAACTCGATGTGCATACACGACCGGTCTCCGCCCTTGTGCAGCTCTCGGTTCACCTTCACAGAGGACATGTACGGGTTCTTGGCATCATAAGGTCTGCAAAAACAACAGAGTATGAGGCAAGGTTAGATGTGATTTCCTATTGGTTAGGCCACACCAATTTAATTTCTTGGTTAACGGATTCGCCCGCTTCATTTTTTTCTGATTTGCAAAAACAACAAAAAATCAGAATCAACTGCAAAATGCCCTGCAAAGTTGAAAACAGTCCTTTTCTTCCTAGTTGTTACTGTAACAGTTATTCCATCTTTCAATGCAGTGGTATCATTAAAAGTTCACAATTCATTGTTTAAATTTGGAACCAGCCTGGTGTGTTGACTTTTTTTGGCTCCTATCGTATCATTTTGGACCATAATAGGATGCCTAGGCCTGTTTTTATTTTTATTTTTTTTGCCCGCCCGCTCCATTATTTTTTTTAGAAAAATCCGTTAACCAAGAAATTAAAGTGGTGTGTCCTTTGGCCTGAAAAGCATGATTAGGCCAAGGAAAAAATGTTGAGTTTCCTGTTTCAGTCCTGAAAAAAGTAGGGTCAGTAGGTAGTAACTTATACAATACAGTTTAACAAAGTAAAACTTGCATGAGGGCACTTTTATTTTCAATGTCAATGTTAGAAAACCAATTGTACAACGTTCTATCAGGTGTCAAATCATGGAGCTAGAAAAGGTTGATCAGCTCAAAAAATATGCCCCTTGCAGGGATCCACCCCCCAAAAAAGTCTAGGGTTGGCAGCTTTTTCTAAAGTCGCCTTGGGTGCCTGAAAAATAGAAATCTAAGTCTTGTTGCATTAAGATACTGGAAGTATGATAACTCACGGTTTCTGCTGTGTGAGTGAGTTGAGCCTGGTGGGTTCTCCTGTGAAGATCTCGTTCTGGTTGATGTCCTCGTGTGTCTCCAGTGTGTACTGTCTCATCCTGCACAGCACAGACAGTACAACAGCTGTCACGCTCAGTACAGCCACTTTTACTCCCATCTTCAGCTGTCTATTCTATCTTTCTACTGGATGTGGATATTCTAGTCCCTATACTTGCTTCTCTTCCTTGTCAAATTTACCTCAAGAAGTTAGAATAGAAGTCCAAAATTGTCCTAACAAGAAATCACACTAAAACTTTAACTGCACTTCAATCTGTTCTGTGTCAATTTTTGTATGACAATTGGTCACATTCATTGTACAGTAGGTCGTTGTACAATTTTGATCCCAAAGAGTTTCAAGCTGGCTGTGACACAACCTAGAACAAGAATCTAAGACAGCATTTTCGATGAGAAGACAGCTGAATTTTGCAGGACAATAGTCCCAAAGATACCCTCAGGTTGTGATTGTAAGGGTAGTGCACTATGTATGCATGCAGCCAGGCTCCTACCAAAAATAGAGTTGTTTACCAAAAGTCCTTTAGTTTATGAATGCAATGACTGAGAGACAATCTCATTGGTCGAGGAGCCACATATGTAAAGCTGTTGCTAGGTTACCGTCCACAAATGCACCGAGACCCTGGAGGGACCTTTGCCACGCAAATGTCACGCAGGGCTTCCTGATTTCAATAACAATTCAACAGCCTCTCCGTAAACCCACTAGACTTCAATATAACGACCTTGGTAAACAACAATGTTGACCTTGAATTTTGTAGGGTTGGTGGACCATGCCACAAGTAGCCATACAAATCTTACTGGTCAAAAGAGATTCTACGACATATGTTCACATGCTACTAGTAGGCATGAAACGGACAGCACAGATTATTTGATATCAGTAGCTACCAGTTACAAAATGTATGTCATTGAATGTTTAACTTGTAGGTTATTTGTAGGATATGTTTATGCTTGACTTGTTAAGCAATTTGTTACAGCAATAGACCATATCCTCTCTGCTGATAGAATTGCCCGTTCAGATTAGACATCCTGATGGGAGTTTTTGTTGACAGTGACTCTGACCGGGATCTCTTACCAGCAAAACCTACAATTCTACGGCCCACTTTGTACACACCATTTCTAAGTCGACTCGGTGAAGTCGACTTGAAAAATTTCTGGGGCCGCAAAGCGACTTGGCACTCCCACTGTGCCACCCTCCCCCAAGTTGACTCGGTGGCTCGGTCTACGCAGAGATGCTCAAGTCGACTTCGCCCATTTACACATGTGAAGCTTGCAGATTTGGCACCCCGCTAGCTGACTCAAGTCTGGTTTGGATACAACTCAAGTCATCTTTATTAGAATATGACTTGAGTTGAATCATTTCTCTTTACACAGGGAAATTTTCGCTCAAGTCGACTAGCTCAAGTCGTCTTGAGTTCTAGTCGCCTTGAAAAAGTTAGGTGTAAAGCAGGCCTACAATGTACCAAATCAGAGAGTCTCTACCCTGACATATACCTGTACATTTGAAATACAAAACCTTATTACATGTACTATAATAGTATAAATAAATAGTAAATGAGACAAGACTCACACTCCCTCTTCTCCCACAGATTCGATACCGAAGTGTTCACACACCGCTGGCCACAACGTCTCTCTCCAGGTTACAAAGTCCTCCTCAATACTGTATAGAAAGATACACTATAATTACAGATCATATTTCATATTGAAAGTAAACTTCATAGACTCGCCTGTGATATGAATTAATAGACATTAGTTAAAGATATTCAGATGCAAGAAAACACTGAAGATTTTTGGTCTACTAACAATAACAAGAACTCTCACAACACATAAAAAATACATGTCATAATATTGTATTCTTGCTTACATTACAGAAAATACTATCTTAACTTAGTTTTAAATATATCAAGTGTTTTGAGAGCTTCTCAACACTATATATGTATGTGTGATAGAGGCTTAAGACATACATGTACTACAGGTATGTGTAACATCTAAGCTAAATGAGTAGTCTAAGAGGTATTCTGTCTATGTCTCTAAGGCCACAGCAAGTAAATTATATGGATGACATCCTCCGCAGACTTCAAATCTAATGCGAGCGGGCGAAAAAAAAACAAGGCAAGTCGAAAAAAACAAGATTCCTACAATTTCAAACTTTGACTCAATCATAATGGTTTTGATTCAGTGGGAACATCACATATACACAGCCAGCATCACATATTACTGCATCAAAGTAAGAAACAAAACATTAAATCAGAGCCTTTTCTTGTCTCCTCTCTTTACAGTTATCTGCTATCCACCTACTGGCATGGCAACAGACACCTTTGCCCATTTTCCACATGTTGACCACTGTCAGAGGGCAACAAAATTTCGTTTTTTTTTTCCAGAATCAGGCTGATGTCATCCATAACTAGAGTTCCACCATCTCATACCTTCGCCAAATGATGTTAGCCTTTATGAATAAGAAATATACTAATCACCCTGATTATGCAAATAGGATCCTCAATTGCATGAATTACATCAGTCTGTTGATCATATTCTCCACCAAAAGACAGTCTTATCTTAACAAAGAATGCCATTTTCTCATAAATTATGCAAATGTGGTCCTTATTTGAATAAGTTATGTTTAATTATGTTCACCTTCACTTAACTTTCAAACACCCCAAGTATGAAATTCCAGGCAGTTACCACTACGCAATTATAACATTTTCTCATTAATTATGCAAATTAAGTCTTCATTTGCATAATCGATATTTGCCTGTGTTTCTCTCGTACTTAATAACATATGTTACAAGCTTGAACTTCCTATCATGGAATGCAGCTGATTTATAGAATTTCCTCATTAATTATGCAAATTACATCAATATTCGCATAATTGTAATATCAATATGTCAAGCATCACTTAAGCTACCTAAATACCAAAAATCACGATGATCCATCAATCGGTTCTTGAGTTATCCTCTTTTAAACATTTGTCCTTTAACCCCCCCTGCAGTTCTAGAGCAAGCAACTAGGGGGCCCAAACTCACGTCACTTCTTCCCCAGCACAAGAGCTACCTACCATCCAAATTTCATCACCATAGCATGTCTGGATCTTGAGATATCAAAACCGGAAGTTCAGCTGCAGTACCATAACAAGCCGCTAGGGGGTCCAAAATCTAATCATTTTGAGGTCTCATCAAGACCTACCCATCTACCAAGTATCAAGACAATCCATTAAGTCCTTCTCAAGTTATCGTGTTGACAGACAGACAGACAGACACACACACACATACACGAACGCCCCTGAAAACATAACTTTCTTGGCGAAGGTAAAAATTACTTGCTGTGGCCTAAATGATGTAACAATGACTAACTTAGCATCATCGTCTCCCATGCCGGCTTTACAGAGTCTGACAGCTCCCAGCTCCTCCAGACGCTTGTCCACAAATATCCCCATGGCGTTGAAGTGTTCATAGGTCTTGTTTCCCAACCCAAACACCTAGGCAACATTATACCAACACCAGTTAAAACAACTGCCATTCCGTTATATTTGACCAAATAAATTTCCATCAAAAGTACAACTTGGTTCTATTATAACTGATAAAAAGCTCATGTATGTGCTATTAGATAATTTGATACAAGGGTATGAAACATTTAAAACAAAAAAGAATATAAGTACAACTTTTGTTAATGAATTTAATGAGTCTTACACAAGTTTTGAAATGTACTGACACATTTGAATTTTGATGCCAGACACAGAAAATTACGCTACTCCTTTGTTGATAGGCTAAACAAAACCGACAATAGCATAATACAATCATTATTATGTCTCCTGATGTCAGATTGTCAGTACAGAAATTCCTTTTTTAAAAATGTATATAAGATGCTGTATGTATAATTTGTGTTTCTATGTTTGTACTGTTATTTTCTATGGGTGAAATACCTGAAATAAAGACATTCAATTCAATTCAATTCAATTCAAATACCGGTACAATACATTAGAACACATCATGGGGTTTGGAAATCTGGAGATTTGAGATAGAACAGTTACAATGTTGTGCATTATACTTACAATTTTTAGCAGTACTTTTTGTACATAAAATCTTAAACTAAGTCATAGCTAGTCTATGTTTATGATGATGATGAAATGGTTTATTGAGAATAAAACACTGGCAGCCTTACAGACACAGACACAGATGAATTGTGGTTGTTTAACAATACAATGTCATCGAAGACTCATATTGACAACATACATTGTAATAGAAAATTCTTATCACATGGATTATAACAGACAGAAGGCGGGTACAATCAGTCAATATAACATTCCAGACATTTTAAAATCAATTGGTGATTATATTCTAAAACATTTTGCTCATATATAATTATGCACAGATCAAACTGTAAACTGGCTTATTATATTTGTACATGACACACAAGCACATAATTTCTTGATTCCAAAAACACAACTGTAGTAAAACGTAGGACTCACAGCGTATCTAAGCTCGCTGAGGTCGTGGTCCTCCTGTAGCCAATCAAAGAACTCCTGTGCGTTGTCTGTCGGGTCACCCTCGCCGTACGTCGCCAAACAGAAGAGAGCGAAGGAGTTCTCTACCTCCCCCATTCTGGTCAGCTCATCCTGGGAAAGGTAACATTATGTTCAGGGGTGCTAGGGTATACAGTGCAATTTTACGGAATACAGTACAGTCGTATTAGCATACAATACAATTTTATGGAATACATTGCAATTGTATTAGTATACAATGCAATTTTACTATTAAAATTGCACTGTGTACTAGTAAAATTGCAATGTATACTAGTCTAATACGATTGCACTTTATTCTGTAAAATTGCACTGTACACTCTGGCACTGTGCCCAATCCTGCGTGCAAATGTGGTCACTCCAACGAAACAGCTGTACACTACTTCCTACACTGCCCACTGTACACTGACGAACGTATTGACATGTTATCATCTTTAACTAACATCCTGCCATTTGACACAAACAACGTCACCGACAACACCACATGTTCAACCATTCTCAGGGGTAACCCCTCATTGTCGTTTGTCAACAACTGTAAAATATTTCATGTGGTTTTCAACTTTATTTTGCAGACAGGACGTTTTGTTTGATTTAGTTGATTGATTTTGATTTGTACACCAGCTCATTATGTACCTTTGTCATTTCTTATTATTATTATTATCATTACTTTGGTTTATTGTTTCCTTTTATGTATGAGGAGAGGGCTGAGATAAGTTATAACTTTTTGCCCAATCCTCGAAAAATAAATGTGAATAAAATAAAATAATACACTCTGGCACCCCTGATGTTATTGTTAAAATGTTTGCGATGGTTTTCTTTTCAGTTTATGCTTTTAACAATACAGTAGCATAAAATCACATATTTACCATAGTTCTTTGTTGTTTCAGTTCAAATCATATGAAACTATTTTGTTGGTTAATTAATCTAATAATACAAATGTTTGTACATTCAATATAAAACAAAAATGTGTGTACCATTTCACACTCCTCAGGGTCCACGGCAAAGCCCTTCATGCCGTAGCGTATACAGTCCCGCGCTAGTCTGCCTGCAAACTCCTCAGCTGTACCCGTCTGTGAGCCGTAAAACACTGCTACGTTCTTCTTCTGCAGAAACAGAAGAATTGCTTTTAATAAAACCTGGCCAGGGCCAAACTTCTTACCAAAAAAAAACCCATGTCACATACCCATTTTCATTCCAAACCATCTAAAACCTTCCACAGATTGCAAAAATTGTGCTGCAAAATGAAGAAAACATTGCCATTGGGCATTGTCAAGTGTCAGTCTCCATGTTATGTGGCCAAAGTTTTGCCCAGACAACATTGCAAGGTTGCCAACATGCAATTTTGTATGTGCCATGGGTTTAGGTCTGGACTTACGAGTCCGGAACTGAACCTAAACCTCTGGACTTGAATCCGGACCTGAACCTAAATGTGGGTTTAGGTACACAGCACTAATTGTAATGTATCATGAGCTCTTTCTATCGGAAAAGAGATATGTTTCAAACAGTCAGTCTTTCCCTCCTGAAATATACTATCTGCTGGCTTTTCATTCATATGGTAAAGTATCTGACACCCAACCATGGAACAAATGAATGTGATAATCAGCATAAAGCAAAATTGTATACTGTACATTTGTATACTTAGAGGGGAAATGTCTATTGCACACACACACATTAACATAACATACATATACATGTACGGGAACGGGAAATGTAAAAACAATGATACTAACCGTTTTCTTCATGCGGTTGATAAAGCTTGGATCTCTGCTTGCAGTTGACAATGGACTGAAAATAACAAAAGGACAATGTCAGTCAATTAATCAATCTTTCTCAGCCTTTAGAAGTTTTCTCCTTTTACCAAGTTAACACTAACAGGGCAATTATGCAAATGAAGACCTAATTTGCATATTTAATGGGAAAGTTTCATAATAATTTCATAGTTGTAACTGCTGGGAATTTCATACTTGCCCCATTTGGAAGTTAAGTGAAGGTGAACATCAATAAACATAATTTATTCAAATCATGACCTCATTTGCATAATTTATGGCGATGTGTAGGGCTGTCATTGGTTGGAGAATATGATTAACTGATATAATCCATGCAAATGAGGCTTTTATTTGCGAAATCAATGATTAAAATTGTATATTCGTCAACCGCAAGGGTTATCATCATTTGGCGGAGGTATGAGATCGTGGAAGTCTTGTTCTTGTACTTTTTTCACACCCACACGTGGTTTGTTTACAGTTGCCTTCTTCAGCTTTAATCAACAGTCCCTTCATGACCTTGAAATGTGGAACTTTAAATGTGGCGGCAACCATGAGGGCAACAGTCCTCTAGATTACATACAGCTGTGTGGTCTACTGCCACATCTCGTCTGTAGATGTGTAGGTACTACCGGGTAGTACTAGTACTAGTACTACAAGCCTTGAATCATATGGTGTCCTACTTTGGAACAAAACTGCACCAAGCAGACTAGCTTTGCCAGACATGTGACATGAGCACAAAGGAACAATCCATTTAACTCTTTCACAAAACCTTTCTCAACAACAATTTACTGTTGCCCCCCCCTGAATTTATTGTAAGCTAAGTGATGCCAAGACCCCCCTATATCCTAAGTTCTAGCTACCTGATGAAACTACATATGTATTTTTATACTATCATGAAAGTTCATCTCATTCTGTGTTGGTAGTTACAACTTTTGGTCCAACACAAAAAGTATCTCACCTAGAGCTTTCTGACCCAGTGAGGCTTGTCACGTGGCTTCTTTGACGGGGGCCGACATTGTCTACCAGATACCTTTAACTCAGTGTTGACGTCACATTTCAAAGAAGCCACGTGACAAGCTTTACTCGGTCAGTCTACTGAGGAAGACCAGAGTGACTGGTCGAAAGCTCTTGGACCAAAAGTTTTAATACATTTATTTTCAGATTTCTAGATTTCCTGTACATGAGAGTGTACTTACACCACAGTGAGTGGCTTGACCAGTTGTTGTGGTGTGGCAGACTTACTGTCCCTGAAGAACCACCAGTAGATGGTCAGGCCCAGGATCATGCACACCAGGAAGATGTCCGTCAGCCCCAGGAACGGCTCTTCTTCTGTTGCCGTCGGCAACGGCACGGACTGGGTCTCGTCAGGATCCATGTCTGTCATAATCGCCTTCTAAAAAAAGAAACAATATAATAAAGATTTTATCAGTACAACAACAAGAAACCAGAAATAGGAAGTACAATGTATTTTGGGTTTTCGTGACTTTCCAGTTCACATACCCAGGACTTTTGTATGATATAATTCAATCAGGTATTACTCCATTTCTCACACCACCCTCTTACACCCAATGCAACCAGCAGCTGTGCTGGGTCAACTTTGAGTCTGGTGGACCCTGACAATCAACTGACCTCAAAATCACCTCCCACCCAATAAGCAATGGAAGCTACTTGGACAGACAGACAAAAAGATAGACAGACCCATACCCGGAAGTAAATATGTATAGTATACTGACTGTGCACCCATTAAAAAAAAAAAATTTAAATGGCACCAGCATTTGGAGTACCTAATTATAATATACATATACATGTATAAGCAAACATCAAAATATGTGCGACGGCACAAAAAAATACATTTTGTACTGTACTACATAACCTCATTCAATCAAACCCCGGAAATTCCTGCACCAAGAAATATCATGCACTGAAAGTCAAATACATCACATAACCATGGTACATGATAAATAACACAAATCTTATACCTGGAAATAAAGCTAAAACCTGAAAACCCCCAACACCCTAGAATTCTTAAACAAGATCAAACTGTTGACTCAAACTTTCAGAGTGAAACAGACTGTAGTCACTGTACACGTGCATGCAAATTCGGCGAAAACAAATACGCCACGAGGACATACATGCTTTCAAGGACACCAAAAAGATAAAACGGACAAACTCCAAATTCCAAACATTAATATCTAATCTCTTTCTGACAGAATTCTCTTACTTTTGTTTGAACAAACTGTGTTTTCTCATTTACCAAATAGATGTTGAGTTACTAAGTTCCAACAATACATGTACATACACAAAACTTGTAAATGACCATCACTTAAATGTACTTATTCAATTTATATAATGTTCACAAAGTCATTATGTATATTATTTGGGTGGTAATAGTATAAATTGTGAAATTTTCATGGTAGTTTTACTACATGTACATGTAAATCCTGGTTGTTGCGATTAGACCAGTTAGTTACCTATCCAAGTTGCAAATTTATGGCATCACGTATGTATGACAAGTTGACAACTATAGAATACATTTGTTTTCACTGTAAATTGACAACATCATGAAGAATCCCATATAAAACATTGTGTAAAACCATTGCATAAGTTTCATGGTTTATAGTAACACTGTCACTGCTACTGAGTCAACAGTACAAAAAGCTACTTTTCTTGTTAGGACTGCTCATTCTTTACATTTGGTCTTGGATATTTCTGAGATAGTATAGTATATGAAATTACATGTATGACAAGCTTTTACTGTTTTACTAACTTTTAGCTAGGATTTTTTTTTTTGTTGGGTGTCCATTTTTTTATGTCATGCGCAGCAAAGATGCAGGGTGTGCAAGCTTTTTAGGGGTCTTTTTTGACATTCATTCATAATGAATGCTCTCGAATACTACTTTCTGAATTTTGAATTTGAGGTACTAATTTCAAGGAGTTTTTTTCCTTCAGTAAACCACCATTTTTGTATTTATAGTAAGGCTGAAGGGAGGCATGTGTGCATGGCAGGGGTTGGGAGTGGAAAAAATAGGGCGTCTTTAGGGTGACCAAAAAGTAGGGCGTCCAATTTCTTATTATTTTCAGTACAGGGCATCCAAAAGACACCCTGGACAGGACACCCCCTAGCTAAAAGCCTGGATTATGAAATTGATAGGATGTCCCATGCCTCAGGTTATTTTGTTCCAGATACTAGGTCAGTCTTGTAGGTGAAGGACAATATGGCCTAGATTGGACTCAGAACAATTCAAACAGGAAAACCTTCCAGATCTGGAAGTTTGCGTGTAATCTAATGTTCTGTCTGGCTATGAAAATGCAATCCAATGTTGAACAAGAAATTGGACGTTTCAAACCTATTATTAGGCCACACCAATTTAATGTCTTGGTTAACGGATTCGCCGCTTCATTTTTTTCTGATTTGCAAATAAAAATAAAAATTCAGAATCAACTGCAAAATGTTCATATTTTGCCCTGAACAGTTGAAAACAGTCCTTTTCTTACCACTTGTTACAGTCATTCCATCTTTCAATGCAGTAGTATCATTAAAAGTTCAAAATTCATTGTTTAAATTTTGAACCAGCCTGGTGTGTTGACTTCATGGCTCCTATGGTACCATTTTGGGCCATAATAGGATGCCTAGGCCTGTTTTTATTTTTATTTTTTTT